GCTGGCAAGAATACAGATGTCCCACAATAGTTTTGCTAGATTCATGCATGGTACACAAGCCAGATGAGCCACTGAGAGGAATTTAGAGGAGCCCTGTTGGACCCCTCACCTCAAAACTAATACTCAAGACTTATTCTCACTTGCTGTACTTTGAGTCTCCGGAGCCCAGAGCAAGCAGTCCTCTGCTAGCACCCAGGGGTATTTGCAAAATAGAGTTGTAGGTCAGTTGATCGAAGCTGAGAATGCCCTTTCCCAAAAACAATCAAGTTGGAAAAGACTGGAAGGATCATTTTGTGTAGAGCTGCACCCCTGCCTCCAGTCTGGTGACTGTGCCTCTCTTCTCTAACAGTCTCAACAGATGATTCTCTAGCTCAGGGGTCAGCAAACTGCAGCCCCGCAGGCTAGCAGGCCTGTTGCTAAAAATTTTTATTGGAATACAGCCATGGTCATTCGTTAACATATCTGTCTATGGCTGCTTTCACACTACAATGGCAGATTTGAGTAGTTGTTACAGGGACCATATGGCCTACAGAAACTAAAATATTCACAATCTGGCCCTTTAAGTAAAAGATTACAGACCCCCGCTCTGCTACATCCAGCAACAGAGAATACACTTCCTCCTAACACTCCCATTCTTTCTGGACAGCTCCTGTCAATATCAGGGTCTTGATTCACACTGCCGTCTCCCTTACTGTGACTTCCATCTTTAGCCCTTAGTCTTAATTCTGGGATCATCTAGAACAAATCTAATCACCCTCCTCTATAGCCTATATTAATCAGAACTCTTGTAAGTGGCAGGTGACTAAAACTCCATTCAAAGTAGCTTAAGAAAAAAAGTAGCTTAAGAAAAAAGAATTTATTTGCTGATATAACTGGAAAGATTAAGAAATTGGAGTTCTAGCCTCAACCATAGTAGATCCAGGCTCTCAAAAATATCAGGACTCTGTGCCTACGCCTTAGTCCTGTGTGTCCTTTTTTTTTGGCCTCAGTCTGCAGGCAATATCTTTTCACAAAGTAGAAAGGTGGCCAGTGGCAGCCCTGAGTCTACTCTTCTCAGCTTTGCAGCCCCAGCGCTAAAAGAATGTCTTTCCTCTGCCTTCATACGCTGCTTGGCTCAGGTGGTATGCCCGGTGCTCACTGTTTCCCAGGTCCATATTTGAGCAGACTGGCCTAGGTCTTGTGCTAAGTTTTTTTTGTTGTTGTTGTTGTTTTTTTTGATTTGGAGTCTCACTCTATAGCCCAGGCTGGAGTGCAGTGGTGCAATCTTGGCTCACTGCAGCATCCGACTTCCAGGTCCAAGCGATTCTCCTGCCTCAGCCTCCTGAGGAGCTGGGGTTACAGCTGCACCACACCATGCCTGATGAATTTTGTATTTTTTAGTAGAGATGGGGTTTCTCCAAGTTGGCCAGGCTGGTCTCGAACTCCTGACCTCATGTGATCTGCCCGCCTTGGCCTCCCAAAGTGCTGGGATTACAGGTGTGAACCACTGCACCCAGCCTGTTTTGTGCTAGGATTGAGGGCCCCAACAGGACCAGGTGTTTTAAGTGTGTTTCTCAAAACATCAGGAAGACAAGAAACAAGGTTAGACAGACAAAAACTAGAGATCACATTGCAGCCTCCTGTTCTTCCTCCTCCTGCTCCAGTCTTCTTGCTCTACTCAAAAAATCTCTTCCTGGCCGGGCGCGGTGGCTCAAGCCTGTAATCCCAGCACTTTGGGAGGCCGAAGCGGGTGGATCACGAGGTCAAGAGATCAAGACCATCCTGGTCAACATGGTGAAACCCC